GGAGGACAGGAGAGACACCAGGTATAATGACTGGACCACGAGAACGCTGACCCTCCAGGCATAACATGGGTGATGTTTTACATGATAATGAAAAATTAAACATATTAAAAAAAATCTCTAAACATTTATAATGAAAAATGCTGAACCACTTAAATATGTGTGTTAGATTTATGTACAACGATATGGCCGTATGATCTCTTCAAGGGGAGTGCCTTGATGCCGGCGAGGGCTCTTGATTCAAGGAAATGAAACTGCGCCCAGGATCAATGGCGATTATCTCCAAATCCTCTGTCGCTGAATGATTTTCTAAGGGTTTTGCCCTGCCGCATAATAATAATAATAATAATAATAATAATATATTAATAATAATAATAATAATAATAATAATAATAATAATAATAAAAAAATAATAATAATAATAATAATAATAATAATATATATTATTATTATTATTATTATTATTATTATTATTATTATTATTATTATTATTATTATTATTATTATTAACCCGTGTAAGGTTTTAAGCACAAGGAGCGGGAAAGAGCTCGATCCTCCCTCCATTAAATATTTGCCAAATACAAAACTTATTTAAACAGACTTCAGATACAAATAAACAGGATGACCAACGAGGCTGAAAGAGAAATGACCCACAGAAGTGGTCGACGTGGCCTCAGTGTTGTGGGTATACAGGGTGTTTCAAATTGACGGTCCCATTTTCAAAGCAGTCTGCTTTGAAATTGGGTCTATCTCTTTGAAACGCCCTGTATATTATCACCATAACGAAGGCAGCAGCAGCAGCAACAACAACAGCAACAACAACAGTAGCAGCAGCAATAATAGCAGCAGCAGCAGCAGCAGCAGCAGCAGCAGCTCGGGCGAGTGACAACTTACCATCTGTACTATATATAACTAGAGAAGGAAAGTTTTAAAATGAATTCTTGTAAATCTCTTGGTAAGAGCGATCGTGGGAGTATATGGGAAAAACTTCTTCTTCTTCTTCTTCCTTCTTAGTTCTTGGTTTAGATGCTGTATTACATGAATCAATCTACTGGAATGTATAAAGACTGCTGGAAGAGATGTTGGATATACTGTAGTTACTAATATAATATATTTTTGCAATGAATGAAATAGATGAGGGCAAAAACAATGGCAAACAAAAACCGAGTGTATCAGAAAATGTTGTTCTCAATTATGGGTGAAAGTCAGAGAAAATACTTCATGGGAAATTTATGAAGATTGGAGTCAAATATCTCAGAAGAAAAATAAAATAAATGCAGATTGGATCAACAGTAACATAAGAAGGAAAAGAAGGAAACGGATAAGTTAAGAATATTCCCCAACCAAACTTACGTCACTTCTACAATTCCTTTAAACCCGTCCTACAAAAAATTTCAACCCTCTGATTCACCCTCTTAAACCTGTCTTACACGTGTAGTAGAAACACTTGAGAGGAAGTGCAGACACCGTGGTAAACATGTAGTGAAATCTCAAGGATATCTAAGAGAAAATGAGTTGTGAGATAAACCATACCTCCACCTCTTCCTGCCTATATATAGCCGTTCTGCTCCTCCTCTGTTAGTGTGACTTTGTCAATGGTCCAAGTCGGACCGAAACGTCGTCGTAAGCTTCTGTCTTTTATGTGCGGGTTATTTGTGTATCATTCCCGCCCTTGGTATGGTTTGTTTGCAATCGTGTCATTACGATTTCGTGAGTCGAGTTGTGAGATGTTAAGTTTTATCACATGAACACTGTCTATATTAATGAAGACGTGATAAATTATTTAAAATATATATTGCACATGGATTCAAGCAGGCAGCTCTTGTCTGGAGTTCCAGTATGGAACAAACAAGATAGAAAATGTTCAAGAACAGGCAAGCAAGGGGCAAGAAAGTGGTTTTTAGAATAAAGAAAAAGAAACTATGAAGATCGTAAAAAAATAATTTGCTTTCGTTGGAAAATAGAATTTAAAAGAGATATCTGATAACTATAAGATTTTTTTTTATTATATAGTTACAGATTTATTTGATTTTTTTCAATGTATAATATTTCTTAAGATATAATTATACGGGCTCAAGTAAATTTCGCGCTTCTGCATTTCGTTGTAAGGTCTACATTTCATTGCGCTTTATAACCTTAATGATGGCAATCTATAATAGGAATTCACCCACCTGGATACGATGAAAAGGGAAAGTTATATTTCAACTAGGTCTGAGGTCCCCTTCAGCAGAATGAATTCTGCTGAAGAAGTCTTGATTTATGGGTCGAAATATACAGAATAACATTTCCCTACCTTGGTCTACCTCCGGGTTTCGTCCTGTTACTAACAAGTCTGATGCTCTAACACGTCTTTCTATATTTAGATTTGCTCTCTCGGCGACAGTTCTTGGTATATATAACGACACTAAGGAGGGCAGGAGGGTGCACTGTAACCTATTTCACTGTAGTGGAAATGCAAGTCGTGCTTCTAAGGGTATACTGAATTTATATTGGAGTAACAATATGATGTCGCCACGTGACTGACTACAACCCTACGAGAGCATCACATTACACTGGACAGGTAGTAGCAGAATTGTGGCTGGAAACCATCATTAATTTACAATTAATAAACGGTGGATAATTAAAGTGGAACAAACATTTACACTGGGCTGCCACACGAAGACAATGGCGGATTATTTTAAGTAAAACCACCACTGGAGCGACGCAAAGTCACCTCGTTTCCGTGCAACTTAAGAGATAAAGTTTCAAGTCTATCTCACCATGGCAACACTCCAGATCTCAAGATAATGTGTGCACCACCAGTCCCCCTACGTCCCGCTTAATAGTTCACAAAGATAGGATATATAAAGACGGTATAAAATTTCGGAATTTGAAACAACTGCAATGAGTGCCTCATAAATCTTGCTTCTTAATATTATATATATATATATATATATTATATATATATATATATATATATATATATATATATATATATATATATATATATATATATATATATATATATTATATATATATGTATATTTTATATATGTATATAATATATATATATATATATATATATATATTATATATATATATATATTATATATATATATATATATATATATATATATATATTATATATATATATATACAATAAGATCACAGTAAACAGGTGATTTCAGAATATGCAAAACAACCACTGTGAAAGAATAGAGAAGTTCCAAGCGCTTTCGTTGTTCAAGGAACAATGAAAGTAAAGCATCAAAGGAAGGTATATAAAGGGGTAGCCCACACCTCACTATCAGATCCCACAACAAGGAAACACCTGACGCGAGACAGCAGGCCCACCGGCCGAACTAGACAGGTCCTTCATACAACCCACCAACAAACTATTCTACCCAAGAAATAAGAAATTTAAAAAATTATTATTCGTCCAAACTATTATTAAATTCTTCCCAGATTCTATTAATTATAAGTGGATCTAATTTATATAAACCAAAGGAAATATTCATATTATTCTCAGCTTTTTGAAAATCAATTGGATGGTTAAAATCTCTTACATGAATAAACAGAGCATTGGAATCTTGTCCAATTCTAATGCTATATTTATGTTGCTTTAATCTTAGTTCGAGATTTTTACCAGTTTGACCGTAATAAACTTTATCGCAAATTTTACAAGGAATCTTATAGACACATCCATCAGCATTTTGGGGGAATTCTTTATCATAAATTTTTTTACTGTATCAAGATTTTTGAATACAACTTTAATATTAAAAGTCTTAAAAAGAGAAGGCATATCAACCAAGTTTTCATGGTAAGGGAGAACCAACATATTTTTAGTTGAATAAGGCTGGTTGTCCCTTTTTGGATTGTAAAAAGTATTTCTAGCAACTTTAAAAGATTTATCAATTACTTTTTACAATCCAAAAAGGGACAACCAGCCTTATTCAACAAAAAATATGTTGGTTCTCCCTTACCATGAAAACTTGGTTGATATGCCTTTTCTTCTTAAGACTTTTAATATCAAAGTTGTATTCAAAATTCTTGATACAGTAAAAAAAACTTTTGATAAAGAATTCCCCCAAAATGCTGATGGATGTGTCTATAAGATTCCTTGTAAAATTTGCGATAAAGTTTATTACCGTCAAACTGGTAAAAATCTCGAACTAAGATTAAAACAACATAAATATAGCATTAGAACTGGACAAGATTCCAATGCTCTATTTATTCATGTAAGAGATTTTAACCATCCAATTGATTTTCAAAAAGTTGAGAAAGTAGTATCAAGCAAGTCCATGGTCGATAGGAATATAATTGAATCTTGTTTCATAAAAAGCAGTTTTGACAATAATATGAATATTTCCTTTGGTTTATATAAATTAGATCCATTTATAATTAATAGAATTTGGGAAGAATTTAATAATACTTTGGACAAATAATATTTTTTTTAAATTTCTTATTTCTTGGGTAGAATAGTTTGTTGGTGGGTTGTATGAAGGACCTGTCTAGTTCGGCCTGCGGACCTGCTGTCTCGCGTCAGGTGTTTCGTTGTTGTGGGATCTGATAGTGAGGTGTGGGCTACCCCTTTATATACCTTCCTTTGATGCTTTACTTTCATTGTTCCTTGATAATGCGAATAGTCACGAAAGCGCTTGGAACTTCTCTATTCTTTCACAGTACTTGTTTTGCATGTATTATTATATATATATATATATATTATATATATAAATTATATATTTATTATATATATATATTATATTTTATATATATATATATATATATATACACGGTCAACAGGTGATATCACAATGTGCAAAACAACGAATGTGAAAAAATAATGATCTTCCAAGTGCTTTCGTGATTTCTCACATTATCTAGGAACTGTAAAAATATTTCAAAATACACAGAGAATACTCAGCAGCAGTGGGGTAAAAATAGATTTCATTTAACTTTTGGAGTTCTGTACTTACCACCATTCATCATCTCAAGAATCCGGATGCCAGAGTTTGTTTACTTACCGTTCGTCAGCTGCTCGCCGAGGGGAATCAGCAGGGGCACCAACACGTTCACTGCCATCCTCACTACTATATACAGACACACACACGGCGTTTTCCTCAGTGTAATGTTGGCACACCTGTTAAAGACAAACATTTGGTTTTATTTTTGATGTATCGAATGATAATGTGCGATAATAATAATAATAACAATAATAATAATAATAATAATAATAATAATAATAATAATAATAATAATAATAATAATAATAATAATAATAATAATATATTATAATTATTATATATTATTTTATTATTATTATATTATTATTATTATTATTATTATTATTATTATTATTCATTATTAAAACTAAACCTATCAAGAAAAATACAGTGTAATGCATAATTACACTGAAGCGAAATTTAGAATTTTAAAAGAATTATAGAGGTGAAGAGGAAGAATAATTTCCCTTGTTTTCTCAAAACAGTGAAATGTATTCATGTAAAGCGCAATACCAGGGGGAAAAAACATACATCTTTATTTTTTCCCTGGGCAAATAACTGACATGACGAATGATACGTGTACATGTGGTGGTGATATTCTGTGGCGAGAGAATTATGCAAAGGATCGGACTAAAATCTTGCTTTGCTGACAGAAGTTATTAAATTCATGCAGGAAAAAGGTTAATTTGAAAATGTTTCAAACTTCCGGCAGTGACAGAAGAGCTCTACACTGATTAGAATTTTTTTAGGGGGAGAGACTGCGTGGCAGAGGCAGAGGGAAACGGGATATTCCAGTATATGCAAAACAACCACTTCGGGGGGGGAGGGGAAGTTGAATGATAGCTCTTGGCCTTTCGTGTTGCAAGCAACACATCCTCAGCAGTGTGTAATGTTGCACAAATGAGTAGTTAGTCCAGGTAGATTCGTTCGAGGGAACGATTCCAGCTAGTATAATCAGTTTGAACTAATCTACCTGCATTTTTCTAATAATTTCTGCAACATTGCAAGCTCCTGAAGATGTGTTGATTGCAATACGAAAGGCCTAGAGCTATCATTCAACTTCCCTCTTGTTGTTTTGCATATTGTATCGCTTGTTCGCGATTATTGTATTCTAGTGTGTGTGTGTGTGTGTGTGTGTGTGTCGTGTGTGAGAGAGAGAGAGAGAGAGAGAGAGAGGAGAGAGAGAGAGAGAGAGAGAGAGAGAGAGAGAGATAAAGGGGTAAAGAGAGCGAAAGAATGAAACTTTTTCTCCATTTCCTTTCACAGTTATTAGTGCAGAGTTGTGTTCCTGGTGTCCAGTCTTCCGTTATATAAATTTTCAAGAATTTTAGTGGCATGTGATGCAAAATAAAGTATCCACTACCGTCCACACGATGAACATGAACTGCGCAAGAAAAAAAAAAACTAGCCACTTCGACTTCGATTAACCTGTATCTTGGAAAATGTTTTTAATGGGACGCCGTCCCAACTATCCAGAACAGACTGCGAAATGAATGACAGATTTGATAAAGATTTAGCTACGAATTAACCTCGGCAAGAAATACTTTCTCACGGTGGGGAATACTCGACTCATGGCAGAAAATATCCACTCAAGGCAGAGAATGTTCTTCAGGGGAGATAATACCACGCTAACGGAATACTCTATCACGGGAGGAAATACTTTCTCATGGTAGGGAATACTCTCTCACAGCGGCTAATACTCTCTCACACCAGGGAATACTCTCTCACAACAGAGAAAACTCTCTCACAGCAGGGAATACTCTCTCACAGCAGGGAATACTCTCTCACAACAGGGAATACTCTCTCACAACAGGGAATACTCTCTCACAGCAGGGAATACTCTCTCACAACAGGGAATACTCTCTCACAGCAGGGAATACTCTCTCACAGAAGGGAATACTCTCTCACAACAGGGAATACTCTCTCACAGCAGGGAATACTCTCTCACAGAAGGGAATACTCTCTCATGGCAGCAAAAGAAATTGTTATATTTATAATTTTAATTTTTAAAGTGGTGGATCGGTAAGCCAGCGGAAGGCCTCGGTCAGGTGACCAAAAACTCCAGTCGCAGGTTATCATATAACTAAGACCTGCGTCAGGGAACACTTGTCCTGTTTCCAGACAAACCTTACCTAACCTAACCTAACAGCAGGGAATACTCTCTCTCAGGGCAGGCAATATGCTTGCATGATGAAAGGCACAAACTAACTCACTGCAAGGGATACCTGGTCAAGGATGGAATACTCATAGAAGAGGATACTCACGTCAAGAAGTATCCCCCTTCCGCACGATAGGAGAAACTCACTTCGGTGAATTCTCACATAGAAGGAATAATTATTTATCACATCAGAAAGTTTAAATTTACGCTGGGAAATATTCAGCACACTGCAAACTTCCAAAAGGGAATACTTAGAGCACGGAATATTTAGTGGCGGAGAAAGGTTTCACTTACCTTCAAGTGGTAAACATGCCGCTCTGAACCTCATAACAATACGTTCCTGTAATGTACTCTTATTTTTGTGTGCATAATGCAACCCGAGGGATAGATGTGTGTTTGTGTGTGTGTGTGTGTGTGTGTGTGTGTGTGTGTGTGGTGTGTGTGCGTGTGTGTGTACGTATGTATACACGAGAGGAGAGAGAAAATAATCTCATGAATTCGCTGTGCATCAGACTTAAAAATTAATCACATCTCATGATCAAAAAGTAAACTCACATTTCCGTGTCATTAAAACGCAAATAGGCTAATAAAAAGCAATTAAACGTGGATCAGGAGTGAGGTTTTTCGAGAGGTTGGAATGTATTGAATGTAATACGGGGTGGGAGGCGTGGGGAGAGTGAGAGAGAGAGAGAAGAGACGAGAGAGGAGAGAGAGAAGAAGAAGAAGAGTGAGAGAGAGAGAAGAGAGAACGAAGAGGGGAGAAGAGAGAGAAACAGACGCAAGAGAGAACAGACAGACAGACAGAGATGAGAGAGACAGACAGAGAGAGAGAGTAGGAAGAAAGAGAGAGAGAGACAGATAGCAGAGAAGTCAGACATACGGGACAGAGAGAGAGGACAGAGAGAGAGAGAGGAGAGAGAGAGAGAGGAGAAGAGAGAGAGAGAGAGAGAGAGAGAGAGAGAGAGACAGAGACGACAGACAGACAGACAGACAGACAGACAGAGAGAAACAGACAGAGAGAGACAGACAGAGAGAGAGAGAGAGAGAGAGAGAGAGAGAGAGAGAATGAGAGGAGAGAGGGGAGAGAGAAAAGAAGAGAGCAAACTGCAGAGACATAGGACACCGATAAGAGCGTGACAGGCAGGGTTGAAGGAAGACAAGCTCTCTAGAGAAATGAATTTTTTTGTTAGGAAGAGTGTAAGACAGAGATATACCGACACATCCCTTGTAGTGTCAAGCCTGTGACCAGGGATGTGTGCTCCTCTTCTCACTCTGTACTTACCTATATTTGCTTGCAGGGGTCGATTCACAGATCCTGGCCCGCTAGTCGCTACTAGGTCCACTCTGTCCCGGCTCCAAGAGCCTTATCGTTCCTCTTCTTAAAGCTATGCATGAATCCGCCTCTATCACTTAATTCTCCAGATTGTTCTGCTGCCTAACAACCCAAAGGCTGAAGAAATATTTCCTAGCATCTCTATGACCCATCTGAGTTTTTAACTTCCAGATGTGTCCCCTTGTTCCTGTATCCCATCTCTGAAACATTCTAACCCTGTCCACCTTGTCAATTCCTCTCAATATTTTATACGTCATTATCATGTCCTCCTTATCCCTTCTGGCCTCCAATGTCGTCAGGTTAAGTTCTCTTACCGTCTCCCTCATAGGACATGCCCTTTAGTTCCGGAACTAGTTTTGTTACAAACTTTTGCACTTTCTCCAATTTCTTGACGTGTGTGACCAAGTGTGGGTTCCATACTGGTTCTGCATACCCCAACATGGGCCTGACATACACAGTGTACAGTGGCCAGTCCATCAATCTTGAATAGATTGATGGACTGACCACATCGACTCAAGGTTGGGGGACTGATTATCTCATTCTCCTCCTGTTCTTCAAGTTTCTCCTATGTATGGACTGATGAAGCCACTGTGTGGCGAAATGTTTCCTCAATAAAGATACTCAAGAGTTGCACATGTGTCTAATTTATCAACATGTCGGTTCTCTGAACCATTCATCTACATATTCGTTTCTGTCTCTTCTGCTCAACTTCTTGTTTTCCTGGGTTCTTTACCTTCTTATACTTTTGTCCGTGTTGTAGCACACTTGGCTCTGGCCTCTTCACACCTCCGGATAAACCATGGCCGCACTCTGGTCTTCCCATTGTTTCTTTTGCCCCTGAGTATGAACTTCTCCTCCGCCTTCTTGCACATTGTGGCCACATGTTGCGTCGTTTCATTTACTCTTTTCCTCTATCTCTTACCCACTGCACCTCATGTGTGTGTGTGTGTGTGTGTGTGTGTGTGTGTGTGTGTGTGTGTGTGTGTGTGTGTGTGTGTGTGCGCCACCATCCGGTGTTCCTCAAAGCATTCTCGAAAATTTACCACGGTACACAACGGCCTTAAAAAGATATTTCCCGACCAAAATTTGCTGTGATGTAAAATACTCCCCCTCCCCTCCCTTCCTCCCAACATCTCCCCGGGCCTACCTCCCTAACTCCCTCCTCTCCTTCTCATTGCTTCCTCTCTTCCTCCCTTTCTTGCCCTCTCTTCTTCGCTTCTCTCTCCCTCTTCACCTTCCAGCACCTCTCGAGGATCAAACCTGGAGTTAGGAATCAGTCTTCACTGTCCCTGACAGGTTGACCTCTCAGTGTTAACAACAACATAATATATCAACACTCCAGTCAAAGCTCCAGTCCTCGGTCAATACAGTCACCTCCAGTCCTCGGTCAATACAGTCACCTCCACTTCTCGGTCAATATAGTCACCTCCAGTCCTCGGTTTTAATACAGTCACCTCCAGTCCTCGGTCAATACAGTCACTCTCCAGTCCTCGGTCAATACAGTCACCTCCAGTCCTCGGTCAATACAGTCACCTCCAGTCCTCGGTCAATACAGTCACCTCCAGTCCTCGGTCAATACAGTCACCACCAGTCCTCGGTCCCAAAACAGTCACCTCCAGTCCTCGGTCAATACAGTCACCTCCAGT